GCTGGGGAATAAACAGGACATGGGAGCTGGGTGCCCAGGAGGGTGGAGGTGTGATGGGGCAGAGAGAAACTGAGAGCAGGAAGGGCAGGGCACAGGAAGGAGGAAGGACAAGATATTGCAGCAAAGAGGGGTTTGACTATCCCAAACGAGGGTGACCAGAGCTGGGAAGCCTCACCCATGACACAAAGCAGATGGGGAACAGGACACAGGCTTATTTTCCTTAGGGAAGTTTGAATTAAAAATGGAGCAGAGAAATCTGCTGGATCCACAGGCATGAAAAGCCAGGGTTTACTGTACTATCCCAAGGGCTTCACGGTCATTCTGTTTTCACCAGGCATTTCCAGACCCCTGCATTCCTCCCAGGAAAAACACCAGGAACCCTGCACTCCAGGAGGGCTGGCAGCAAAGAGCAGAGAATGCCCTCACCTTGCTTTTGGCCACCAAGACCTGCAAATGATGCTGGAAAACCATCAAGAGCCATCTGCTTGGAACTCTTGCAAAGTTTTGGGCTGGAAACCTTGCACCAACAGAGAGCAGCTGAGTCACTGAGCTCAAGTGGGATCTTCCTGCCATCCCTTCATTGCCTTCTCTACCCTGGGGCAATATGGTCTTCCTTTGCTTTCTTTTCCTTTTTTTTTTTTTTTTTTTTTTTTTTTTTTCCTTTGGTGTTTTTTTTTTTTAAAGTGAGTGCCTAAGAGCACTTACAAGAGCCAGGGTGCTGGCTCTCAGATGATTCCCAGACATTATCTGCAGCACCCCCTGCTCACCCAGTCCTAAATCACGAGCATCCTGCTCACCTCGTGGTGTCATTTGTGTGCTATATAAATCACCTCCAGGCTGTCCATCCTTCGGGGCCAGCTGCATGGCACCCACCTCTGATTTGATGCCCAAAAACCTCTGCACTGTTGCTGGTCTTGCAGTACCAGGGCAAAGATCTCCCTCTTGGAGGCCTGGCTGCAGCATATTGAAGGCAGCTCCTGATCCCTACCACAACCCTGGGCAGACCCTTTGGACTTGTTTGCCATCACCTCTCCTGTCTCCTCAGCCCCAGGCCCTCTCCTGGTCCCTGCATGTCCCACCTGGCACTGTCCCACGTCTCTCCAGCATGGGGTGACACTCCAGGGCTTGGGGACTGCAGCTGGAACACGAGAGGGGACTGTCCCTCAGGCTGCCCCCCCAGCCGTGGGGGCTTTCTGCCAGAGCTGCTCCCAGATTGTTCCATCAGCTCCACGTGGCTCCGGGTGTCCCCTTTGTGTCCCCTGCTCAGCCCAGCTCCCAGCTGAGCACATGGCACTCATTGCCACGGCTCACCCTGGGAGCTGACCTGCTCATCGGCCTCATGGGTTTCCAGGGAGTGGGGGAGAGGGACGAGAGCGAGTGGCTGATGCTTCTCAGCCACTCAGCTTGGCCCAGAGCTAACGAGGCATCTCAAAATTAAAAAGTGAACTGCAATCCCCAGCAGGCCTGTCCTCCTTTTGGCATTAGGCGGAGTTCTCTTTCCCTTTTTCAAAAAAATAATAAAATAAAGAGGACCGGGGAGCCACGAGTTGTGTTTGGAGCTGTGGAAGCACCACATCCTAGGCAGGATGGGGGGCTGGATGAGCCTGGGGTCTATCTTATAAAGAGTGTGAGGGGCAAGAACTGCCTGACCATGGCAGGTGGGACATGGGAACAGGTCCTTCCACCTGCCTTCACATCCAGAGGATCCCAGTTGCTCCTGCCCTACAGGCAGGATTGAATGGAGGAGGCACCATGTGGAAGTGGGACATTGTCCCCAGGGCTGAGAGGGTGGGGACAGGGCAGGGTGACTGGCCTGAAGGTGGGGCAGGACAGCAAGAAGGAAACAACTCTGCTGCAGTAGGAAAACATGGGGAAACAGGCAGGAAAGAGCAAGGAGGCGAGGAAGGGAAGCCAGACTGGTTCATTGCATTTGTGGGTTGCATTCCTCACGTGGGAATCTGTCTGGGAAGGACCTGGCTGGGAACCCAGCACTGGCTGCTGGGACCTTCCTGCCCCCAGTGCCTCATCCTTGAGCCACAGAGAGCTGACGGCTCTGGCTTTAGAGGCACAGCTCACCCTGGTCCAGGGGTTTGCTTTGCTCCACTCCTCTGCACTTGGGCAGGCCTGTCCTGCCAGACCCCTGGTCACTCTTGGCCAGCCCTGAGACAGCTCCATGACATCCCTTTGGGGCACAGGGCTCCCAGCAGGACCTGCCAACCCTCCGAGGTGCCACCTTGGCCATTCCCAGCTCAACTTGACTGGTGTTCCCAGGATGGGAGCACAGGGGTGGTGGGATCACCTCCCCCACAGAGGGGCTTACACCCCACCTGCCCAGCTGGAAGGCAGAGGGGGGTGGCAGGACAGTCCAGGTGGAACACAGGGCAGTCCTGGAGAACAGTCCAGTCCTCGGGATGCTGGAACTGGAACTCAGGCCAGTCCCTGGGAGACAGCAGGGCTGCACACACACAGGTCCCAGGGCTTTGGGCAAACTGTGCCTTTTCCACAGAATCACAGTACACCCAGAGCACGAAGGCACCCACAAGGATCATCCAGTCCAACCCCTGACTCTGTTCAGGACACACCAACAGCCCCTGCCTGTGCCTGAGAGCATGGTACAAACACTCCTGCAGCTCTGGCAGCCTTGGGGACATGACCATTCCCTGGGGAACCCATTCCACGTTCCAGTCACCCTCTGGGGAGGGAACCTTTTCCTAATATCCGACCTGAGCCTCCCCTGGCACAGCTTCATGCTGTTCCTGTGGGTCCTGTGGCTGTGCCACCTGCACACAACTCACTGGGGAGAACTTCAGCCTCTCCACAACAGGACTGTGGATACTGGGAGCCACACAGGGTCAGACACCTCCTGGCATGATCCCACTGGATTTCACCTAGAAATGGGTTTGATCCAAAAGCCCAGAGAACTGGTGAGCTCTGTGGTACAAAGAAACTTCCACCCCTTTCCCTGGCCTTGTAACAGCAACAATCTCCAGCTTCCCCACTCTTGTGTCAGCCCAGCTGGAAATGCTGCAGGAGGTTTGCCTGGCTGAGCTTGTCCTGGGGTGGGAGCCAGGCATGCTGATAGCTTGGGCATCCCTGCACCACGAGCACCAAGGGGCTCCCCACCAGGACCTTGCTCTCATGAGCACAGGGAAGGGCAAGAAAGGGTGAAGGGCAACAGTGAGGCAATTACAGGGAAGGAGGTTATGGTCATAATTCTGTTTCTTTGCTTGAGGGAGGAGAAATGCAGCTTGCACTTTGGGAATTCAGAGCAAAATCAAATGAAATGCCAGGGCTGCCCAGCCCCATCCATCCTGCAGCCCGGGAGGATGCAGTGCCTGCCCAGCCCAGCCCCAGCAGGGCACAGACCTGGCAGGTCTGCACTGAAGGAGGGCTGAGCCCTGTCCTGGGTGCCCTGGGGGCTGGAATCAGGGAACAAAGCCTGCTGGGCACACCCGTGTCTCCCTGTGCTCTGCACAGCCAGCTCGCCTCCTGCTGCGCTGGATCAGCAGCACCACAGTCCCCCTGTGCCTGTGCACCCTGCTCCTCTTCCAGTTTTATGTCATCTCCACGCCTCTCCCCCTCATAAAATGTGACTGCACCAATTTTTGTGGTCAGGCCTGGCCAGGTAATAGGGACATTTTGTGTTTGCTGGACTGAGCCTTTAAATCAAAGCCAGCCTCTCCTATGTTCAAAGGAGAGAGGGAAGATTTGGAGCCCGTTTGCCTGCAGGATGCTGCACCCCAAGTGTCTCCCCAGTGCACTGGTGACCTCCCAGGTGCCCCTGAGCACTATGGAGGCATGGGCACCATCTCCCCCTGCCAGAGCCCTCCCTGAGGCCAGGGCCCAGCAACGCTTGGTGTTGCCCCCTGAGAGCCCCTGCTCCACCACGGGGTAGAACAAGGAGGTGAGGGCGGTGGGATGGTGTTTGTGGGGGTGGGAGGGACTCTCTGCCAAAGGGTTCGGGGTGGTCAGGGCATGGGTCAGGTCTGGGTGAGGAGCAGAGAAACCAGAGGCTTCAAGGAGAGATGGGTTTGGTCATGGGGAGCAGCAATACAGTGAGTGCCTTCACACCCTGCTGGAATCAGTGGGGGATTCCTGCACTCCAGCTTCTAGGGACTATGGGGCAGCCCTGCTGGGGGAAAACTGCTCCCTTGAGCCACTAAATAATTGTGCCTGGCCTCTCTTGCCCCTGAGAGCACAGGCATGAGCCTGCTGCCCATCAGCCCCGTGGAGAGGGACACCTTGACATGTAGCTGTCCTCCCGTGGGCTGAGCATCCCCCAGCCCCTCACATCTCCTCACCAGGGGAAAACAGCATTGCCAGAAAAGTCTTAAAACAGCCAAGCTCGGCAGGCTGAGTCCAGAACCATCAAATCCCCCTCCCTGTGCTTTTCCAGTGCCTGCTCCTCTCCAAGAAACAGACCTCAAGCAGACCTGGGAGCACAGCAGTGCCCAGAGATTTCCCATATTTCATCTCCACCAGGCCCTTGTGGTTCTCCTGGTTGCTCACAGGAGCCAAGGGAGGAATTGAGGATCCTTGCCCCTCCTGCTGAGTGGCAGCCAGGCCACCAGCTCCCCAGGGAATATTTTATGCCTCACTGTTGCTGAGGGAGCAGCTTTGCAGGCCAACCAACAGCCCCACCAGCAATCACCTCAACCCTCTGCAGGGAAAAGAGCCAAAATATCTGGCACTGGAGCAGCAATGGAGGAGGGATGACTTGCTGTCCATGATGGAGGAAAGCTTGTAGCAGAGGAAAATCTGAGTGTCTGTGTTGTGGCAAAATACCCCCAGAAACATCTCAGCATGGGCAGCGCAGCTGTCTGCAGGGGTGGGTGATGCTGGAGGGAGAGGAGCCAGCGAGAGGAGAAGGAGAAGCAGGAGGAGTGGCAGAAATGGGAGGAGAAGGCTGTAGGGCCGTGAGGGGATGCAGATGTGTGAGGGGGGCACTGCCCATAGCGTGAGTGGCCAAGAGGCCCCGGCCCTGCCCCTGCCCCCCGTACCTCCGAAGTCGGGCCTGAGGCGGACGTCATAGCCCTTCAGCAGTTTGTCCACAATCTCTTTCACCACAGAAATATTTCCAGTGGAGGGGCTGAAAGACAAAAGAAGAGAGTTCTCGTCACGCCCTGTGGCATCAGGGGTCCTGGCCAGGTACCTCAGCATGCTTCCCAGCCCAGGCACCAGAACGCCTCAGCCGAGAGCAGAGCCTCTCCGTGCTCTCTCACTCGTGTCTCCTGTCCTTGGCACAGCCCCACCTGCCCACAGGGCCCCACGCCATCCTGGGAGGTGGCTCTGAAGTCTCAGCAGTGTTTTGGCTGCTCTTCTGCATCTCACCCTGCCTCCAGGGCACCCCAAGCTCTGTCCCTCTGTGTAGGCACCCCAGGGTCCTGCTGCTGCACCCCTCAGCGAGCAGCCTGGCCACTGACCCACAACCTGGGGGCTTCGCTGTGCCTGCCCACAGAGGGGCAGGAATTGTCCTGCAGCCTCTCCCTCGCAGGTCTCACTCCCCTTCCTCAGCCCAGCCGGGCTCTTGCTCCAGGCCTTGCATCACCCAGCACAGGCTTGGCACGTCCCGAGGTCCCCACAACACGGGTGGGCCCTGGCAGGCACCCTGCCCTGTCACACACCCCAGAGCAGCCTCTGCTCCCCGCTGCACCCAGGGCTTCTGCAGGCTACTGAAGCAAACAATGAAGATCCTGAAGAAAACAAGGCTCCTTCTTCTCCTACGGCCTCAATACACAGCTGATCTTTGCCATGCAAAAATTCAGTTTCTGTCACTCAGCATCACTGTGACTTCTTAGCAACGCAGATCAAGAGGCAGAGGCAGGGAAGGAGAGTCCATCTTCCCCTCTGTGTGCCAGAGCAGCAATCCTTTCTCTCACAGCCCTTTAACTACACACAGAGGGGCAGATGCCCTCCCTAGCACCCATCCAGCCTTACAGCAAGAAAGGAGTTCCTTCCAAAATCAGCCCAAGGCCCAAACCAAAACTGAAGGTGGGGAACCAGAAAGCAGGGGATGCTAAAAATACCGGACCTAAAGGGTGCTGCGGGGTGTATCAGGTTTTGTGCTTGAATCCCCAGCCTCTGTGCCACCCTCATCCCCTGCTTTGCATGAGAATAGAGACCTTGCCGGTGACAACTGCTGCTCTTTGCAGTCACCCACCACAGCAGCATGTCTCCTGTCAACACCGCCTCCCACATCCATCCCAGTGAACCTGGAGAGCTGCACCACGGCCCTGCCTCTGCCTGCCAGCCCCGTGCCAGGGGCTGCCGCTGGCATGGCCCTGTGTCTGCACACACACGCACACAGACAGACAGACAGACAGACAGACAGACAGACAGACAGGCGTGCTCTCCTGGCTGCACCAAGGGGACAGGGACTCCCTGTCTGTGCACACAGACACACAGACACAGGGGAACACAGAACATGCCCCGAGGTGTGTGCATGTGTGTGACCCCATCCCAGCCAGCACCTGGGGGTGACTGGAGGTGACTGGAGGTGACAGTGGGTGCAGACCTTGCTCTGCTGGGGTGTGATGAGAGGCTGGGCTGTGGACACCATTTATGAGGAACACAGACACTGGCATTTGTGGATCTGCTGATCCAGACTCACGTAGGACCACCTGGGAGCCCGGGCAGCTCTCAGGGCTCTGGATATGCAGGAATTTCTCAGCAGGACAGCAAATGTGAGACAGCACCCAGCTCTGGTGCATGCACAGCCAAGGAGCCCTCGTGCTCCAGGGGAAGGGGTCTGAGCTCCACTCCTGAGTGTGCTCCTGAGAGGGGTACAGCTCTTCCTTGCACGGCTTTAATCACTGCAAAAAGGCCAGAGAGGTGTGCGCAGGTGGGCACTTCCACAACACCGTGGCCGGGCTTGCAAGGTCCACTTGCACCTGTGGATTTCTCTGCAGGTGTGTGAGGTTTTGCAGCATGCAAAACACAGTCCTGTCACTGAGCACTGAGAGCGTGCAGCAGCATTTGTTCATCTCTAGACAGCCATTCCTAGGTACACGGATTCCCACATTCTTAATATGGACACTGTGTCTTTCTCAAGGGATTTGGACACCTCTGCTTGGCTTCCTACAATGTGTAAACTCAGGAATCAGTGTTTACCTCATTAATATAAGAAGGGAAGTCGAGGTAAACAGTAAACAATGTGTCAGGGGCCCTGCAGGAAGGGGCAGAGTGGGACGAGGGCCATGGGGACTCCTTCCTCCTCACCAGCCTAGTGAGGTGGCCTAGTGAGGGAATAAACCATCATGATTAAGGACAAGGTCTTTTGCCTCCCAGTGCTCCCTCTGATCCAAAAAGCCATGTCCCTCCCACTGAGGAGGCAAGTGGTGCCTTTGCCCAGCTGTGGGCGAGCAGCTGCATGCCAGTGCTATTCCTGGCGAATGTGGGTCTGCATCCGCTCGGGAGCACTCACAGCCAGCCTGTGATCTGAATTCCGGAGTGCTGTGCCCCTGATTCTGTGTCAGTGGGCATGTGCTCTGCACAGCCACGTACCCTTGCAGCCAAACATCTCCATACCAGCACCCCGTGCTGCTGGCTGGGCTGTGTAGGAGTAGCTGGAGGCTTGTGCACATGGAGAGTGTTTCGTCTCCGAGCTGTGCACAGACACACGCAGACTAGGGGTGAGAATCAGTGCTGGACACACAAACACACATGCAAGGACACACATCTGAGCAGAGGGGCTTGCTGGGGGCTTTAAATGTCACACATTTGCTTGGACAGTGCTGCCTGTGTGTGTGTCCCCACACAGCAGGACCACGCATGAATGGTGTGGGCAAGGTGGGCATGCGCCTGCGCCTGTGCGTGTTTATAACGATGGGAACACAAATCTGGGCACCCAGAACCCTACAAGGACCTGTGTGTGCATGTTTATAATGACAGGAACACAAATATGAGCACCCACAGCCCCACAAGAACCTGTGTGTGTACATGTTTATAACGATGGGAACACAAATATGAGCACCCAGAGCCCCACAATGATCTGTATGTACATGTTTATAACGATGGAAACACAAATCTGGGCACCCAGAGCCCCACAAGGACTGTGGGGCTGTGTGATGCTACATGTGTGCACGTTTATAACGATGGGAACACAAATGGATCATTTATAATGATGGGGCACCCAGAGCCCCGCAAGGACCTGTGTGTGTGCATGTCTATAACAGGAACAGAAATCTGGGCACCCAGAGCCCCGCAAGGACCTGTGTGCGTGCGTGTTGATAACGATGGGAACGCAAATGGATCGTTGATAACGACGGGGCACCCAGAGCCCCGCAAGGACCTGTGTGTGCGCGCCGGGAGCTGCTCCCCGTGCAGGCTGAGCAGGGAGATGCCAGAGCTCCCCCCGGCAGCGCAGGGACAAACGCACCTGCCCGCAGGTGTGCGAGGGAGGGACGGAGGCAGGCAGGCAGGGAGGGGGAGCAGCAGCAGGCAGCGCTACCCCCGTGCGGGAAGGCAGCGGATGAGCGAGCAAACAGGTGCGCTCCGCACACCTCGGCCGGGCTGGATGGGCGCCCGCCCCTCCGGAGCGCGGCGGGCACAGCCCAGCAGAGCTGCGCCGAGCGGGCAGGGGATGATGCCCAGCTGTGCCCGGTGCCCCGCAGGGCAGGCGGAGCTGCGCGCTGCAGGTGCGGAGCCGCACACGGGCGGGCACGGGTGGCTGCGCACACGCAGGGACGGATGCGGACGGATGGCACCCACGGAGGAGGTGCTGCGTGCCATCCGTCCGCGCGGAGGCACGGCCGTGGGCATCGCCCCCGGGGCTCCGCAGAGCCGGGCCGTGGCACGGATGCGAGCGTGGCTGCGTGTGCAGCCCGGGCACGGCCGAGCAGCCTGTGCCGGCTGCGCAGCGCAGCTCCGGGGCTCCGGCGGGCACCATGTTCCCAGCGAAGCCCTTCTCGTTCGGCCCTTTTCCCCCGGGCTGGGGAGGGGGACACACGCTCTGCGAGGTGGGCTCCGGCCGCAGAGCCCGCTCCGCACCTCGTGTGCGAGCATCCCTCCTCCCCCAGAACGGCACGGGCTGGGCAATCACAATAGCGGAACCTGGGGAAAGAACCCCCTCCGCTTCCCCACATCCAGCTCGACGGAGAAATCCCCAACCGAGACAAACAAGCCCTGTGCCAGCCCCCCTGTCCCTGCAGCCTGGGATCGCAATCCTTACCTTTGCGCACAGCAGGCGACACAAAGAGCTGCTAAAGCAGAGACGATTCCACTCAATCTGTCTGCCTGAAATGTCCACATTTCCACAAAGACGAAGGATGAAAAAAAAAATCTTTGGAGGGGAGGGGAAAGAAAGATGGATCTTCTGAAATCCCCCTCCAAAAAAAGGGGGGGAGGGAAAAAAGAAACCAACCCCCCCCCCAGTTAATGATTTCCGAGAGAAAAAGAATAATGAAAAAAACCTAAAAAATGAGGGGGAAAAATACCCCCCCGCTCCTTCAGTGCCAGTCAAAGAATTCGTTTCTTCTTCCTTTCAGCATCCTCTCAACAAGAGACATCCTCTGGCAATGGAGAAAATCCCAAGAGAAAGAAAAATAAAATGCCCCAAAATGGGCTCAGCAAAATGTGAAATCGAATCTCACAGGTACGCGGCAGAAGACGAAGAAGGAAAAAATTAAAAAAAAATGGAAAAAGAAAAAAAACCCAACTCAGTGTCCCCTGAGCACTCCACTTGGATTATTTTTCCTCCTGCTCTTTTGCCATCCGGTTCTGCAGATGTTGCATGGCTCCTGCTACCCACCTTCAGAGAGGAGGAGGAGAAAGAGCGTGTGTGTGTGTGTGTGTGTGTGTGTGTGTGTGTGTGTGTGTGCGTGTGTGTGTGTGAGAGAGAGAGAGAGAGAGAGAGAGAGGGGAGGACGTATGAGTTTTCGAGCAATATGATTTTATTCTGGATTTTACCTATTTGCTCCCCCTTTCCTCTTTATTTTCCAAGGGGGGAAGAGGAAGCCACCCAGCCCCAGTGTGCAGTTATTTTATTTTAGGGAAATCTCAGGCTCGTCACTTGGGAGGTCTGAAGCTTTTGTAAAAAGGCTAAAAAAAAAAAAAAAAAAAAAAAAAAAAAAAAAAAAAAAAAAAAAAAAAAAAAAAAAAAAAGGAAAAGCAAATGCAGCCTGGTAAATAAAAAAATGCATATATGCAAGTGTAGAAAATAGATAAATCCCTGTCTGCAGAAGGGCTGCTCTCGCGGGGAGGGTGGATGTCTCCTTAGTGCTGCTGCCGCAGCTCCTGTGGAGTTTTGCTGCTCATTGCAAAGTCACAAGAGGAGGGGAGGAGAGAGGGAGTTTGTGGCTGGGGAGGGGGACTCTCCCGACAAATTGGGATCCTGACGTCATGGCTGACAGCATTAACCCCTGCTGGTTTGCAGAGGGGATGGATGAGCAGTTCTGCTGAGGTGGATTTTTGGGGTTTTTCCCCAGGGAGGTGGGCACAGGGAAGATGATGGGAAAGGTGATGGCATTTTGGCAAGAGAAGGGCAGTGCCTGGGCAAGAGTGGCTCAGCTTTGAGCGCTGATGGGTGCTGTGCTTGCCTGAAACACTGTCATCAGCATAGGCTGAGCTTCCTCCTGCAGCCACAGAGATGGAAAATAAGGTGATTTACTCAGAATGGCTCCATGCCACAGAGCCCAGTGGCCTGGTGGCCTCCTCCAGGGGCACTGGGGGGGATCTGGAGGCTCCGGTGGGGCTGGAGACCACCCCCCCAGGCTGGGGAAGCCCAGTTCAGGAGGGATGCTCAGCTCTCCCTGAAGAATGTTGCTATGCATAAAATGGAGTTTGTGGGAAAAGGGAGCCTAAACTTCCAGAAATGCTGCTGGGGATCAGCTCCTGGTGCTGGGGCTTTTCCTGCTGAAATGGTACCAGCCATGGAAATAATCATGGTCTCCTGTGCACCTGCCTTTGATCTTTGTTTTAAAAAATAATATAATTAAGGAACTCTACATCAGGCATGCAGTAATGTACTACCAAGAAGGATTTTTTTTTTTTCCCTAGGAATAAGAAGAGCTCCAGCAGCACTTTGAATGCAGAGCAGAAGCCATGGCTCAAGGAGGAAACATCTGAGCTCTCACCACCCTGGATGGGATCTCCTCTGCACCTGCCTGGCAGCTCCGAGCAGCCCCACCAAACAGGTACGTCCTGGCTTGCACCTGGGTGTAGATGGTCTCCAAAACCCTCTGGGACAAGGGCCAGAGCAGATGTGTCACTGCAGCTGGCAGGACCAGCTCCAAAATGCCTCTGAGGGGCACAGGGCAATGTCCAGTGGCCACTGGGCAGCTGCTCTCTCCTGCCCTTCCCTGCAGGGAGATCTGGCCAGCAGGAGCAGGGGGTCATCCTGCCCCTGCACTCAGCACTGCTGAGGGCACACCTCGAGTGCTGTGCCCGGCTCTGGCCCCACAGTTTGGGAAGGACTTTGAGACACTTGAGCTCATCCAGAGAGGGCAACGAGGCTGGAGAGGGGCTGGGAACACAAACCCTGTGAGGAAGCACTGAGGGAGCTGGGGGTGCTCAGCCTGGAGAAAAGGAGATCAGGGGTGACCTTGTCACTGTACAGCTCCTGAAAGGTGGCTGTGGCCAGCTGGGGTTGGGCTGTTCCTCAAGGCAGCACTGACAGAACCAGAGCACACAGCCTCAAGGGAAATACAGGTTGGATATGAGGAAAAGCTTTTCATGGAAAGAGTGACAAGGTTCTGGAATGGCTGCCCAGGGAGGTGGTGCAGTCCCCATCCCTGGGTGTGTTTAACAAAGCCTGGATGTGGCACTGGGTGCCAGGGTTGAGTTGAGGTGCTGGGGCTGGGGTGGAATCCATGATCTTGGAGGTCTCTTCCAACCCAGTGACTCTGTGAATTCTGTGTGAATCTGGGAGCATCCTTGCCTCTGGGGTTCCTAATGCTCCTTTCCCTCATGCTTGGCTTGGCTCTACATGGTTTCTTCATCAGAGACAGGCCACAGATCCTGTGCTCCCAGTCTCCTTCTCCCGAAAAGCGTGGTGGGGAGCGACCTTTCTGAGGAGCTTCCCCCTGGCAGGCCAGACTGGGCTGTTGCAATGCAGAGACACCAAGCCAAGGAACAGCTGAGTGCTGTGCTGTGCTGGCCTGCTGTCACTGGGGGCAGTGAACGTGTGGGGTTTGTGGGGAAAAGAAAGGCTGGGGAAGGTTTAACACCTACAGTGAGGCTGTGCTGGAATGGGAGGGGAAATGATATTCTCACTTACTTCTAAGGCTGGTGGAAAGCATTCTCTGCTTGGTTTAGTGCCCAGACCACCCCTGCTTGTCCAGACTTAGGCAAATTAAGCTCAGATTAGTGATGTCCACTGCCTTCTCAAAGACCCAGGCAGGTAAGTGACACTTGTCACATGCCAGTCGATGTGCTTGTCCCTGTGGAGTCAGGGCTGTGCTGCCCATGGCTTTCACTGCAGGCCACTCCCTGTGGCCTCCACAGGGAGTACAGGGTGCAGGACCTCACCAGGACACCCAGCTGGTGACATTTCACTGCGTGGTGGCCCAGAGCAAGCCTGTGTGCCCGGGCTCCCAGTGCTGGCCGAGCACGGTGCCCTCAGGCTGCTCCCGGGCTCCCACACGCCCGCCCGGTGTCACAAGCAGTTCATGCTTTGTCACCACCCCCAGGAGCTCGTGGCTCCCTGCTCCTGTGGCTGAGGGGTCCGTGGGGAATGGCCAAAGCTAGAGGGTTGCTCCACCACTCTGTTGAAGAAGAGGAGGCAGCGCAGCAGATCTGGTCCTGCAGGATGTCCCCACGTGCCCAGGACGAGCTGCCTGGTGCCACCAGGTGCTGGCTGCTGTACAGGTACAGCATTCACCTCCTCTGCTGCTGCCAGCACACAGAGCTCCTGACAGCAGCGACTTGCTGAAGCATTTCTTCTGATTGAAGCTGCTGGGCACCAGGGAGGAGCTCCTGGGGAGATGAGAAGCATTTGCCTCTGGGCACTCATTAAACCCTGCCTGGTCTCTTCCTGTTCTGCCCCCTTTGCTCTGCTCCCTTCCACCAGCCATGATTGCAAGTTACTGGCAGGAAAGGTAAGTGAAAAGCAAATGTCAGAGGCATACATGAAGAAGAAAAATTATGCTCACAAATGGTGACATTTGTGCTTGCAAGTTCACCCAGTCGGGAGCAGAAACCATATCACATGAATTCTCTGACCACTCAGCCACAACGGGGAACTTTGGAAAGCCCTGCTTGGCAGGGAAGGCACCCAAAGGAGCTGCTGTGTGCTCCTGAGAAACCTACCTGGAGCCACGTCCTGGGCTAAAGGACTGCTCTGGAGTTAGTGCCCATCTCTGCTGGCTCTCATGAAGGCTGCTGCAGAGTAAAACGTGCCCATGCTCACAGAGGAGTTTGTTCCTTGCCCTCCAGAAGATGGGCATCCTCGAGCCTCTCCCAGAGCCCCAAACGCTGTGTCTCCCTTCTCTTCTGGGGGCTCTCTGCTCTCCAGTGAGGGCCCACTGATGGGTTTTTCTGAAGTTCACCTTCTGATCCTGCCAGTGTCTGTGAGAGGCTGCTGGAGGTGCTGTGGCTGTAACCACCCTGCAGAGGCCACAGAGCGTCGTGTTTGTGGCCATTTGCTGTCCTCCACTATTAAATCACTCATTTTCACTCTTCTCTTATTTGCTGCCCTGCTGAAATCTCCACACCCTGGCCCCTCTTCTTCTCCAGAGGCCACTGCCAACTCCAAGCCCCAAGTGCTGCTTTTCCCAAGGGCTTGCCATCAAGGTGAAAAATCTCCCTCATCTCCTCTCCCAGCCAGCTGGAGAGCTGGCTCTTCATTCCAGCCAACAATTCCCAGAAGAAGATGGTTATTCTCCTAAAGCAGAACAAGGACAAGAGCTGAGAAAGCAAAAGAACTTTTATAATATCTGAAATTTAATGGAAGTCCCGCAGAAAAGGAGAAAATACAGTCTTACAGCTGGCCTTTCTGTGCAGAAGGTAGAAAACAACCTGAAAGTAAATGAAGTGCACCTCATGAGGTGGAAATAGAGACAAGCAGAGGCAAAGGAGAGTTTTCCCACCCTGTGTAGAACACAGCCTCTATCTCCTGCTGCAGCTGCATCCAGACTGAGCTCACTAAACCAAAGAGCCTTTGCAATTCCAGTTCCAGTTCCTGCAGAAAAGGCTTCCCTCAAGCTATCCTACAGGACAAAGGCTCCATCACCACCCCCAGTGCCATCTAAACACCCTCAGGTGCTGACAAGGAAAGTCCACAAGCCCCAGCCCCTTGGACTGACAGCTCAGGCAGCTGTGACTCCTGTTTTAGTGACCCTGCATCCTCTGATTCACAAATGCCTCCTCATGTGTTAGCCCAGGAGCCTCTCTGCTTGGACACTCCACGTGCTAGATGTTCTATATTCCTGAGGAAATGCCTCAGAGTGCATCCACGGGGTTCCCCATCTTTGCTGGGTTAAAGACCCTTCACCACTTTGCAAGGTGGTCCAGAGTAAGTGGAAATGTTGAC